AAGCTGCTCATGAAGAATTATAATTATTATTATTTTTTGTTATCTTATCTAAGAAGTTTCTAATTTTTACATTTTAGTTAGTTTTATAATCATAGATAAAGAATATAGATTAAAAACAAGAAATACAGTACCTAACTTTGACCTAATGTTTTTTGCTGTTGGTTCCTGATGAAATTTAAACTTACTTTATTATAATAATGGTACTACTCAACTAAAATATTTTTTATTTAATTAAATAATAAACCTAAGGACACAAAATAATAACACGCACAAAGCAAACAATATCATACAACTTATAATTTAACTGACTTTCTAACTAGAACAAGAGTGGCTTAAAGTAATTCCTTTTGCTGCTCTATCTGAAAACCACGAGATACACTTTCAAACTGAAGCTGAAAACAATAATAATATTAACAAAAATAATTTAATAAGTTGTGTAATCCAAAAGAGTACCTTTAATTTAGGTTATAATTGTGCTAGTTTTGATTGTTGAAATTTATTTCATTCCAATTATATATTTGCCCCAAAAACATTATGTAATGATATTTTGTACTCAATTAGTTTAAAAGCATTATTTATAATAAATGGCGCCAATTGCAAATAAACAAAAGTTAAAACGATGATGATGATAGTATCTGTGTAGACTGCACACTACAGTGTAAACATCTTTGTACACTGTGCACTATAGTAGCACCAAAAATTCTTAATTAAGAAATCTGATTTTAAATGTACAAAAGACATGCAATACTTACTGAAATCTTGGCAAATTTCATGAAGATACATAAAACATTAAAAGTTATAGTACAGAAGATCTAATGGTTACTTTGTGGTTACAAGGTCAGTCACATTCATAAGAGAAGGCTTGTTAAGTTTTTGAATGATAAAGATTGGTCTTTAATTTTTTTTAGGTTTAGTTTAGTTCACAGAAATGATGGCCTAGATGGATCAGGTTCTTTGCTGTCCTTAAATTTTAAGTTATGTTACAATGCATGTTGCAGGTAATATATGTTTCAGATTTCTGAAATATATAATAGCTGATGATCCCCAAGGTAATATCTGACTGAAGTAGCTTTACAAAAGGATTTAGATTACTTAGCGAGTTAAACAAATAAATAGTAGATGGCTTTTAATTGTAATAAATGAAAAGTAATGCATGTGGGTCATCATAACTTTAATTATAAGTATATTCTTTTATGGAAATAACATTAACAGTGTTATGGAAGATTTAATTAATTGATCAGTCTCTTAAGCCATCTGAGCAGTGTGCTGTTGTTAGTGTTACAACAAACAGGACTTCAAGTTGTAATTTCTTTGTATAGGTTACCGGTTATGCCTCATTTAAAGTATTATGTTTAGTTTTGGGCTTCTTTAATTGCTGGAAAAGGTTCAAAGGAAGGCAACTAGAATGCTACTTGGGATGGACAGGTTATCATACAAGGATATGTTACAATTTCTGATTTTTTTTTTCATCTTGATTGAGGGAGATGCTTAAGACTAAAGAAATTACCAGTTTTGATGCATCATAATATCTTTTTGTTCCTAATGGTGAGAACAGTAGAACAAGGGGAAACAAATTTTGCCAGTGGTGTCATTTCAGCCAAGACAATTTTATTTCTCTAACATGGTGGTTAACTTTTGGAATGGGTTACTTTCAGATGTGGTGGACACAATATACTTAAGGAAATTCTTAATAAATATTTAAATGATAAGGCCTGGCTTGAAGGATGTTTGGTGTTTTTTAAAGTTCAGCTTTTTATGCTATTTATAGGATTATTTCCTAAAACAGGATTAAGTGGAAAGCCAAAGCTTTGATAACTATAAACTATTAGAGCTATAGAAAAGTGGTGGCACAGAAGTCAAATAAAAACAACCAAAATTTGAAGAGGCCACAGATAGTGAGATTGATCTGTCATTTTCAACATTTTTGATATTATTTAAAAAGTACTAAACATTATTTTGAATGGTTATATATATAAATACACACACACATATTTAAAGCTATCACTTCCAACTGACTAACTTACAACCTCCTCACCACAATCAAACCTTAACAAACTTAAGTTAGTTATTAGCTTGTAGAATGGTTTGCCTAATGATTTGTTGCATGTTATCAATTTAAGTTATTCTGGAGAAACATAAGAGTGATAATTACATGTACATTAGTTTTGAAGCTTCAGTGTTTAATAATTAAGTTGAAGGGTGACCTTGATGAGCCAAATGGCATTTTGTCACTTAGTGTTTGTATAATGTACTTGTACATAAGAGTATAATATATAAAACTTAAAATATCTTTCTTCCATTTTTTTAAGATTTCAGAAATTATAAAGTGATTTCACTAAACAGCCTCATTAATGAATTTCTAACTAGTAAATTTCCTTTCACAACTAAAAACTATCAATTAAGTGAAAAAAACGTTACACAATCTTCAAAGTAAATATACATATAATATATATATTTCAATTAAAATGCATCTTACCATGTAAGAGAGAGTCAATTTCTAAAAGCTGTGCAACTTCATATAGCTCCATTAACTGGTCAATAACTGAACGCTGATAACTACGCACTATGAGGGTACTGTTTCCTTCAGAACACACAGTAGGAGTACTTCTTTCCACTTCAGTTAGTAGAGAAAACAAATCAAAGGTATCACAATAGAGAGCAAAAAGTATAATTTTTGCATAGCGCTTTGGAACAATGGCATCATCTAAAACTATTCGCATAACTGCTGGTTCCTTCATTTCATTGGACCTTCTCTGATATCGTTGAATCACATTTCTAAAAAATGGTGATCTTGAAGCCAAAACAACTTTGTGGCATGGAATTTCTTCTTCAAGTTCATTTCTGTATTCACCAGCAGAAAAACCATGCCTAACACCTACTTTACCAGTTAAGTTGTAAGAAGCTATAGCACTGTTTTCTTTTCTATGAGAACTTACAGATGAGTGACGAAACACCAAACAAGCATCAGCAAAGAGTTTGCTAGTCATTAAATATTTCATATCCTCTCTAAGAGGATTAGGGATTCCAAACTGTTCACTTAGTTGTATTAAAGTATCAACATTTCCTTCATACTTGTCACCAACTGAGAGCTCTCCTGTATAAAGATACCTTAGTAATTCATTAAACATGCCCAAGCTAACACCAGGTATGTCAATTTCAATTGCTATCTGACTTCCACATGATAGAGGATCATATAACATTTCTCGAAAAAAAGGACACCTAATGCATAAGATAGCTCTATGTGCAGGAAAACACCTTCCTTTATATATAAGGTCAACATCAGATGAAAATTTGCTTTCAAATATAAGGCCCAGGTCTTGTTGACAAGTCCTAGCAGATGGACGAGCTAGATCTGCTTGAAGTACAAGTTCCCTTAATGCACTTTGTGCTTCATAATGTTCTACAAGTAATGCAACATCTCTAAGACTCCATTCTTCCAGAAATTCACGAAAAACCTGAGCATGATCAAAAGATTTACTTGTTCTACGTTTCCTAATAAATCGTTTTCTTAAAGTAGATAACACAAGTGGTGCTGCTTTACGTTTCTTTTCCTTTCCTGTTCCTCCTCCTTGAACACCTAAATTCTGAGTTAAATCTGAAGAGAGACTGGTGGATCCCGGAACAACGGCACTTGATTCACTATTGGTTTGGATGGATGACATAGAATCTGACGAATGATATCCTGTAGATGATGCTGCCCCCATCTTACTTTTGTTCATAAGAATAGCCCTAGGTGTATTTTATCTTCTAAGTTATCTATAACTTTACATCCTCTTGAATTCCAAATAAGGTTGAAACTGATGTTACTTAGTAACACACTTTACAAATTACACTTTTCTTCAATAGACATTTACGTTTCAAAATCATGTACAACTATTACACTACTTTCAAATACTACTTATTACATTTTAATAAATTACGACAATCACGTTTCTAGTTGAGAAATAATATTGTGATCATAACTTAAGATAACCTATAAGTAGGACAGAAAAAGAAACACGTTCTTGGGTTTACACTTTGTCTTGGGTATACCGAATTCTTTAGACATGAACTTGATGGCGAAGTGTTTGTTACCACAATGACAGTGACAGTTCATCGTTTCATTAACAATAACAGTTGTTGGCAATCATTGCCGAAAATACTTGACAAACAGCAGCAGAAAATGCCTTTTCGTGAACGTAAGTAGTCCTATACTCTACATAAGTTATCTATTTGAAGTTCACCTTAAAATTCAAGGTTTAGTTAATTAAGTAACGTTACGTCGTTAGTCTATATCACTATAGACTAGTACATAACTCAAGAGTCAGAAGTCATAATCAAGTTAAGGCTCCGACATTTTCTAAGTATTTGACAATGAATACTGAAACTTAATTGTAATAATACCACTACTTTTATCCAAAACAAATGGGTAACTTATACACTAAAGAGTTCTGAAATTAACTAACTACTTCAAAATAAATTGATAGTTTTGTAACAGTACTTTCTAACACTGACTTTTAATTTATTAACCCTAACTTAGGCTTATCGCCTTTCCTTAATGTTTCAACTACAGTTCCAAAGGGGGTTATGTGAGGGCGCTTTAATGATTTTTTGTTCACCTTCTGTGAAACATTTTCAAGAAGTTCTAAACCATAGAGACAAAAACAAATTATTTTTTATTTCTATGTCCTAAACACGCAAAAATGCCCTACTGGTAATATTTTTTAAATTTAATTAGCTGGAAAACTTAGTTTATTTTCGTTATAATCTTCAAGAAAACATAAAGGAAACAGTATCGTATAGAAATGGAAAATGGCTGAAGAGTAAAAGATGTTTTTATTAATGTCTTCATTTTACATCGAAAAGTCATCATGACGAATAGACCTGTGTCGGAGCGAAAAACATAAAGAAAAAAAAAAGGTTCCGAAAAGAGACGACATGGAAAAAAATAAAAGAAACAGCAAAGATGGAAATAGTGTGGAAAGAATTGCTTTTAAAGGAATAACATCAACTGAAGCGCCTAAGTATTATAGCCATATGTTCATCAGAAATAAAACCAAATATATTAATTTCGAAATAAAATCATCCCAAATAAGAGTATACATAAAAAGAATGATTCTGAAATGATCAGAAGTTAAACACCTGTTGAAGAAATTATGCTATAGTTCAGTATTTACTCAACGGATACCTCGTTTTCGATTAATCTGTTTTGGCTTGTTTTCAATTTCGCGCAAAGCTAATCGAGAGCTATCTGCGCTAGCCGTCCCTAGTTTACCAGTGAAAAACTAGAGGAAGGCAGCTAGTCATCACCACCCACCAACTCTTGGGCTACTCTTTTACCAACGAATAGTGAGATTGACCGTTATTCTATAACACCCCACGGCTGAAAGGGCGAGTATGTTTGGTGGGACAGGGGTTCAAACCCGCGACCCTCAGATTGCGATTCGAGCGCCCTAATCACCTGGCCATTTTTCGATTTAGATAATACTCGTCAGCTATTATTGACTCGTATATTATACTGTACGAGAAGATGTTTCAGTTTTCACTCTATTTGCTGCTTATTAGAATAATAAGATTTGCTTTCTGATGATCGGTCTGATGCATTAGTTTTACAGATCAAATATGTAAAGTTATTTTAAATAAGTTCATTAATATTCAATATAGACATGTTTCATACTGACAAAAAAAAAGTAACTGCAGAGTAAAACCAGGTTGTTTCACAAATGATATAAAGGATAATATAAAAGAAAATCATTATAAATATAAAAAGTTTAAATTCATTGCAATGATGGTAGACTTAGAAGATTATAAAAGATCAAGAAAGTTGGTCATACGGCAAATTAGGAAATCAAAAACTAATGCTGAAAATAGTGTTACGACAGCGGAAGTCACGTGACCCTGGTAACACGTAATGAGTTCTAGAAATATTGGGGAACATCACGAATAATCCAGTATTTGCTAGGCGCCCTCTATTCTTGTATATAAGTGTGCCAGACAATGAATCGAGATAGAATAGCGGACAAAGAGATTGAAGATATAAACGGACAATTGAGTCAAGCGCGGTAGTGACGTAAGTAAAGCGCGTGAAACGTTCGTTGTGAATTATAGCGTGTGTTTAAATTAAAGTAACTGTGGAAATTAAGTGTATTGCAAAGTTGTATTGACAAAGAATAAACTAGTTTTATTTAAGAAAGGACTTGTATCGCTGAAGTTTTTCGGAAAGAACTTCTACGGAAAATTAACAAACGACCAGAGACGTAACAGATAGGTGTCAGAGAGTGGGACTGAAAAAAAAAGAAAGAAAAAGAAGACGGAAACGAGAAGTGGCAAATCAAACTACAGCTTAGCAGATTTGATTGCAGCAATATAAGACCAGCAAAAGAAACAAGAAGAACAAGAAAAAAAACAAGAAGAGAGATTACAGCAGTTGTTGGAGGAAAAAGAAACAAGAAGAGAACATACAGCAGTTGTTGGATGAAAAAGAAAACAAACAAGAAGAACGAGAAAATAAACAAAAAAGAAACAAGAAGAGAGATTACAGCAGCTGTTGGAGGAAAAAGAAACAAGAACAGAAATTACAGCAGTTGTTGGAGGAAAAACAAACAAACAAGAAGAACGAGAAAATAAACAAGAAAAGAAACAAGAAGAGAGATTACAGCAGCTGTTGGAGGAAAAAGAAACAAGAACAGAAATTACAACAGTTGTCGGAGGAAAAAGGAAAAAAAAAGAAGAACGAGAAAATAAACAAGAAGAGAGATTACGGCAGTGGCAACTGGAACAAGAAAGGAAACAGGAAGAAAGTCAACAAC